GCAGCCAGCTCCCGAACTCGAAGCCTGGAGAGGAGAGTCACGGGTGCAGCAGGCCGGCCTGGTCCCACGGGGCTGCCCCACGACGCCTGTAGGCCCGCGGGTGGGCTGCCACGTGACGCCGAGATGCAGCCCGTGGTTGACGATAACCCATCGCCTTAGCTTACGCACGGCGGGCCCAGCAGCCCCCTTGTCCTGGCCTGTCACCAAGGCCACCCGAGTGCCTCCCACAACCTGCTACATCCTCAACGGTCTCCAGGACAACAGGGGGTAAACGTGTGAGATTTAGGGGAAACATTTAGAAATCCCCAAAAGTCTACCAAGGGGACATAGCCTTTCTTGCCACCGGGAATAAGAGTGAATGACAGTGATGTCACATCTTAATAATCTACTTATTTCCAGTAATCTCAGGGCCACTTCCTGCAAAGAAAACTCCCCCATCCTTGATCTCATTTGTTAAAAGTACACGGGCGCCCCTACATTTACACAGAAGACTAGTGGAGGGGACGCTGTTGGCAACTCATATGAACACGCTGCTCACGGAAGACGACCAACATCTGCGTGCGTGTTACGGCCTCCCCGCGGCTGGAAACCACAATCTTAAGTTCTCTCCTGGAAAAACAGTCTTCACGTTACTTAACTTCCAAACGCCAGGTACGGAGGACCCCGCTGGCTGCCCGCGGCCGGGACGCCACAGGCCTGCTCCGCGCTGGGTAAGGGCGCGTTTTGCTAAAACCCCGCTGTTTCCACGGCACTGAACGGAGAGGCTTCCAAGTCCCCACGGCGCCTCCCGTCTCCCGCAACCCCGCGTCCGCTCCGAGGGGCGCTTTTATGTTCATGGAAGATGCTGAAACTGCTCTTTTAGACTTAAAGGAAATGTTAAGCGGAGGATTTTCTAAATGCGGTGACAAGGTGATGCTGTTGTGTGCAGAGCGATTCGGAGGCAAGACGCTTTCCCGGGAGTAGAAGGGAGGCTGCTTGCGGGGGCGGGAAAGAGGCCACGGTCTCCACAGTCTCCACCCGGTCCGTGGGATCTGAGGGTGAAGGGAACAGCCAGTCCCGGCGAGCGCTCCGGGAGCGCCAGTGGGTGCGGATTTGGTCAGGTCTCGGCCTTTAACTCTTTCACGACGATTCCATTTCGTTTCCACATGGGTGTGTATTATTTGATACGGATAAAAATGTTTGTTAAAAAAGGGCCTTTCAAGAGCTGGGAAAATCAACAGCATATCCAGCCTGTCCTCGATGCCCCCAAAGATGTTTCCATAGAAAACGGGTTGGAAGTAAATGCACCGAATGTTAACACTGGTTGTGCCCGGCGGCGGCTTTGATTCGCGTCACATTATTGGTATATTCCAAATTGTGTGTAATGGACATAAACGGCTTCTGCAGATATTAGCTTAAACCGCATGAAATTGTCAATATCCAGTCATTTATGACTAAAAATAGTGATTTTATATGATTTAACCCAATAGAAAAAATATTCTAGAAAATATGGGGCTGCTTTCAAAATTAATAGAAGTATTCTGATCCTTTGACCCCGGTTATTTTATTTCTTGGATTGTTTTCTTTAGGAAAGAATAAAAAATTGGGTATAGATTCACACAGACAGCTCACTGCAGAGTAAATTATGGTGGCAAATGCTGGAAAAAACCTAAAGGCTCCTCTAAAAACAAGGGAGTCGAAGGCGTTAACACAGGCACTTGACACGCTGTCTGGACGTCTACGTGACCTGGCAGAACGTAGTGTTGAGGGGGAGAAGGCGAGAGGCACGATCGATCACACGCCCAGCGGCGTCTCTCCCACACGCGACGCTGCACTGAGCTCCGCCTGCACACCCGTGTCCGCGGCCGCAGCGGCTGGAAGCGACCCGAGCGCCAGCGCCGGAGGGTGGAGCGCGGAGCCGAGTCGGG